CATTCATCCCCAAGAAAGGCAGTTACATCTTATCCCCAGGCAAAGCTATCCATTATTCAAAAGGCATACAAAATAAGCCTTCAAGTTTTTGGCATGATGCTGGATGTAATTGTTAGTCCCTATACCCAACAACAGATAAAATGGCTTCAACAGTTTGATGAGGATTGGGCACATTGCTTGTGTTCCTCACCCTGCCACTTTGATAGTTATTTTCCTTCCAGTAAGTTAGCTCATTAAAAAAAAATCACCATGTGTGTTTCCTCAAGGTTATTTCCCAAAATCCTCTGAAGGGGGCCCACAATCTATTTACAGATGGCTTTTCAAATGGTTGTGCAATAGCTATTTCTTTTCCCATTATCAATCGCTCTATACTTAAAGTGAAGTCTGCACAATTTGCGGAACTATCTGCAGTACTATTAGCCCTTCAACATTTTTCTAATCAGCCATTTAACTTATACACAGACAGTAAATATGTGTATCATATATTGGCTCCCTTAGAAACTTCTGCTTATATAGCTCCAGTCTCTCATGTACAAGAACACTTACTAGACATACAAAGCCTACTATGGAGGCGCTCTCCTCCAATTTCTGTAGGACATCTCCAAGCAAATTCTGATTTAGCCCACCCTTTAAGTGAAGGAAATGCCATTGCTGATTTTAATATTAAAACAGATAATGCCATCATGATGATGAGAGAGTCTGGTTATGAAGCAGACTGCACAGCTCATACAACCTTCCAATTAATACAGGGTCACTTAAATTCCATTTTAAAATTGCTAGATAACAAGCTATTGATATAGTTAAGAATTGTCCCCTATGTGCAGAGTTCTTACCTTTTCCACACCTTGAAGTTAACCCCCGTGATGTCACACCTAATGATATCTGGCAGATGGATGTTACCCATGTTCCTTCCTTTGGTCGACTACAACTTGTTCATGTATCTGTGGATACACATTCTCATCTCATATTTGCCTCTGCTCATACTGGAGAAAGGCTTAAGGAAGTTAAAAGCCATTGTTTATAAGCCTTTGCTTATATGGGAATGCCCAGACAATAAAAACTGATAATGGCCTTGCTTATACTAGTCAGAGTTTTAACTCTTTTTGCAAAAATTTTTTTTATCACACATAAGATGAGTATCCCTTAATATCCTCAGGGTCAGGACATGGTGGAAGGTGCTCTTTGCACAATTAAAGCCTACTTCATAAAACAAAACAGGTGGAGTTTACAGGGTCTTCTCATAGTCACCTTTCTCTTGTCCTTTATATTTAAAAATTTTTAACTATTGATGGTGCTGCTCGATCTGCAGCCGACAGTCATTGGCGCCCTCAGTCATCTGACTATGGTTTAGTTATGTGGAAAACTGTCCCTACTGGAAAACTGTGTGGCCCCAACCCAGTTATACTATGGGCCTGAGGGTCAGTTTGTGTCTTTCCACAAGATGCAGATAACCCTGTTTGGGTGCCTGAGCGGCTGATTCGCCATATGCGGAGGGACAGTGATTGTAACAGCCAGAAGTAAGGTCCGATGGGTCTTCAAGAATCTACCCATCCTGATGCCTGTGGGTCTGAGTAGCCATATGTGGCATTTTTTTCCTGACTATTAATTATAATTTGTATCCAGTGGCTATAAATTTACACTTTGATCCAAAGGACAAGAATTTCACCTTTATCTCAGGCATTGTATTCTGGTTCCGTTCTTTTTTGTAACTAATGCTACTAATTTTGGAGAAAGTTTCATTTTTCTCAGCAGGTCTGCCAACTATAAAAGCTGTCGGGGGCCACGTACCCAGGTGTGGAGCAGAGAGGAAAGGAGATTTTATGATCATGACTGCTAGTGCTGCCTTCACCACTGAAGCAACAGTTTCTACCATAGCCCTCTCCCAATCTGTAAATACTGCAAGCACTGATCAACTATCAGGTGATTTGGGTTAAGCCTTAGCCACACAAATCACACTTATTATCTAGTACAAATTGGCATTTTTAAACTAAATTTACAAACTAACCTCTTGTAGGAATACTTGAATTTTTGTGAGGAGCTCATATGGCTTCTTGTTCTCTGTCTTTTACACATATCTCTGTTAATGCATCATTTTTTCTCCAGAAATCCTGGAGTGATCAGTTTTTAAGTTATACACATGCTTTACCCATGCAGATCATTAACATCTATGAAACCTGAGTGCCACTTGCCAATGCAGAAGGCCTTTTACAAGGACTTCAACATGTGAGCAGATCATTGGGGTTTGTAGCCCTTGCACTTGGTGCTACTTTGCCACAGCATTAGAGAGGCCCATGACAACTTTCAAACAACACAGATACTGTCTTTGGCTCAAGAGAAAATGCCTCTGCCCACTTGTGTCTGACAAACTATTCCCCAGTAATGGGTAAGGCAGAGGGGGCAAATATCCAACCAAAGACAGGTAGGTTACGGGCCTGGGTGACCTCTCCAATGATGGGATGAAAGACCCTCAAGGAGTGTCTTCCCTCGGGAGAGACCCCGTGCCCAAGGATCAGTCGAGACCACTCGTGCGGATGCAATCAGCCAGAGGCTTTATTCGGATACACAGGTATCTGGGGCAACAAGATCTCCTTGAAGACTTGCGCGCCGAAAGGCTGGGGAAAGGGATTTTTATAGAGACAGGGGAGCAAATGCGCAGGTACAGAAGCGAGATGCATGGTTACAGGGATGCCATTGGTCAATTCAAATGAGGCCAGGGTTATTCTGAGGACAAGTTCCCTTAGTACATATTAACCAGGTGAATAGCAACCAGATGAATAGCAACCAGATGAATAACAACCAGATGAATAGCAAGCAGATGAATGGCTCTATCTAGGGTACACAGGGTGTTTTTCAGGTACTTTCTGTTCCTGGCTGGCACAGATATCCTGTTTGGCAGCCCTAGCTTGCTGACCCTGTCCTGAACCCGGGGCTACATGCACAAAGGTTCCTTCATAATGGTGCTGCAGCAGCTAAGCTAAGCTAATACAATATGATTGGCGGGGGTCTTTCATTCCCCCATTTCTCTTCTGGCTTTGAATGGAATCTTCCATTCATGTGGTCTATGTTAGTTCTATGAAGTCAGGGTCGGATTGGTCTATTTGTTTTAATCGCTGATACTGTTGGGTGAGAACCAGAGCCTGGATGACAGAGAGTCTATCCTTCATGAATTGGACTAAGCGGTTGAGGATGCAAGGTCCAAACAGGAGGATTAGGAGTAGGATGATCAAGGGACCCATCAAAGAGGACAATAGGGTGGTGAACCAGGGGGACCTATTGACCCATCCTTCAAACCATCCTTGCTGAGATTCGAATAGCTTTTGTCTTTGTTTTAATCTTTCCCTAAGTTTTGCCATGTTGTCTCTTACTAACCTGGTGTGATCTGCGTAGAAACAGCATTCCTCCTTGAGTGCCCCGCATAATCCTCCCTCTCGTAAAAATATCATATCTAATCCTCTCCTGTTTTGTAGGACCACCTCTGAGAGGGAGGTTAACCGATTCTTCCAGTGCCTTGATGTTAGTGTGTATGGCAGCCTGCAGTTGTTTAAATTGGCCGGTTTCTATAAGAGCAGCAGTGTCTGTACCCACTCCTGCCGCTATTCCCCCCATGGTGATACCTCCCAGTAACAAGGCCAGAGTTAGAGATACTGGTTCTCTCTTAAATCGGGGGTCTCCCTTCAAAATGACTGTAAATGTATTCTGGATCATGGTATGTTATTTTGGGCCATAATTCAACCAGAATACAATAATCATTGTATTCAGTACTTGAACAGACACACATGGGGTCAGGCCGGTGCTACATGCCCAGTAAGTCCCATCGGGGGCTGCTAAGTAATAGGCTCCTGTGGACATATGTTGGGTTGTTTTACATAAGGCCTGGTGGGTTTTGGGAACAGTCCCTATACAGAGTCCCTGCCCAGATGCTTCAGATAGGGTCAGCTTGTGTTGGGGGGTGGAAATGCAGCTGGTGGGTGTGGTGGAGTGGTTGGTATAATTACCTAGAACGGCCATCCCTTCATAATAGGGAGGTCTTGACAACAGACATAGCCAGCAATCTTGTGTCCTGTTCGGATCTGTGAGATTGAGAGCCAGATAGTCTCCTTGTATCAAGTTGAGTAGTCTATCCCCAGTCCCAGGTTGGCGGGGAGCCAAGGTAGTGGTAGTAGGGGTATGCACACTAGGGATGCTATTGCTGGCTAAGGAGGCTGTTGGGGCAACAGGGGATAATAAGGGGGGTACAACTGGGGCCGGCTGGGAGGGTGGTTTATGGTCTGCTATGACCATATTGGGTCCGATGGAATGGGTTGCTGTGTTCACTTTAAGTTTAATTTTGAAAGTGACACCTTTATCTGTCCCTGGGAGATACCATCTGAGACCCCAAGTGTACCCCTGTTGCCATCCAGTGGCCTGCCGTCCTGGCCTTGTGAATGCGATCCTGAGAGGTAATGACAGTGGTTTCTTCCAATTGGCATTTCCATCAGTTCCTCTCTGGTAATAATAAGTGTGTCCATCAGAGTCAGGTAGAGTATATTTTCGTTTGACTGTGATCAAATCCCAGGAAGAGGAGGGCCGCCAGTAGGCGTCCCCAGTGGTCTCACAGCCCCATTCATAGCAAAAGTATGCCTCATATCCCCCACATCGGTAGGCTGTGGCTCGATCTCTATTATCTCAGGGGCAAACATAAAAACCAGTTTGGGCTAATTTGCATCTAGCGGTGGGGCTGCTGCATCCATGGGCCGTCATCTGTTGGGGTCTGGCTCCCATGTATGATGATTGTAAGTTATGGGGACCCATAGTTGGGATAACCCAAGTGTCCAGGCCGGCAGCCAGTTGGCAAAAGTCGGGGGTGAATGTAGGCCACCAGGTGTTAAGCGCATGGTTGCCCTGAATTTCCCAAACAACCTCCCAGCTCTGGGACCAAACTTGCCATGTCAAAGAGTACACTTGGTGAGGGCTTCCTTCCTGCATCACAATTCCTAGTCCCAACAAGGCCCATAAAATGGTTAAGGGGCCCCACGGGTAAGTCTTAGCTTTAGCGGGTTTTGGGTGTGCTGAATTCTCCATGGTGAGGTCGTGGTCAGGTTCTTCTCTCCCGTGGTGTGGTCGGCCTTGACGTGGGAAGTGTGGATTCAGGCTGCGATGCCGTCAACCTTTAGTGCCGTCAGGGTAGTCAAGAGGACAGTGTATGGTCCTTTCCACCGGGGTTCCAGGTTCTTAGTCTGGTGTCTGCGTACCCATACAGTGTCTCCTATCTGGTAGGAGTGTGGTACCACCGGCTTATCTAGCTGCTCCCGATAGGCTGCTGCAAGTGGTTTCCAGACTTCTCTCTGGACAATCTGTAATGCCTGCAAATGAGCTTCCAGAGAATGACTATTAGCAAAATCAGCAATGTTGGAATCCAAGAAATTCATAAATGGGGGCGGGGCCCCATATAATATTTCAAATGGGGTGAGTCCATGTGGGCCCGGCGTGTTTCGGGCCCTGTATAAGGCTAAAGGCAGGAGGAGCACCCAGTCTCTAGAGACAGTTGCAAGCGTTAATTTAGACAAAGTCTCCTTAATTGTTCTATTCATGCACTCTACCTATCCTGAACTTTGGTGTCTGTATGCACAATGTAATTTCCAATCAATGCCCAAAAGCTTAGCCACCAACTGACTTACCTGGGAGACGAAGGTGGGCCCATTGTCAGTACCCAGGATCTGGGGCATCCCATACCTGGGGAAGATTTCTTCCAAGAGTTTCTTGGTCACAGTCTTTGCCATTTCATGTTTTGTGGGGAAAGCTTCTACCCATCCAGAGAAGGTGTCTATGAACACCAGTAGGTATCTGTATCCATATAATCCAGGCTTTACCTCTGTGAAATCGATTTCCCAATGGGTACCGGGACGGTGTCCTCGAACTCGGATCCCTGGTTCGAGCTTAGTCCTGCCTGCATTTACCTGGGCGCAGGCTTTGCATTCATCAGTTACTTTTTGTATGGCCCCGTCTCTATTTAGGAGGTATTGTCACATCTCCTGGCATTCTAGGAGAGTCTTCATCTTTTTGGGGCTCAGATGGGTTAGTTTATGTAAACAGTCTATCAGTTCGTAGGTTTGTCTCATGGGTCTAACGATTGTTCCTTTGAAAATCCAATGTCCCTTTTTGGGGTCATAAGTGGCCCCCATTTTCTTTAGGAGATTTATGTCCTCTTGGCTATATGACAGGGAGCGTCTGAGTCCCTGATTCTCCCCTGGGCACGTCAAAGGAAGGGCTCAGGTGGTGCTGAGGGAGTTTAGAGCAGCCTCCCTTGCAGCTGTGTCTGCTAGTCGGTTCCCTTTTGCCTCCGGGCTATTGCCTCTTTGATGGCCAGGGCAATGCATAATGCTCAATTTCTGAGGCAGAAACAAGGCTTTTAGCAGTGCCAGGATCTCAGCCTTGTTTTTAATTTCTTTTCCTTCTGAAGTTAATAGTCCTTGCCTCTGGTAAATTTCCCCATGTATGTGGGCAGTGGCAAAGGTGTATCGGCTATCTGTATAGACGTTCAGTCTCTTACCTTCTGCCATCTGAAGGGCCTGGGTTAGCACGATGAGCTCAGCTCTCTGGGCTGAGGTGCCTGCAGGAAGGGCTTTTGCCCAGACTACCTCCGTCTCTGTGGTCATGGCTGCTCCCGCCTTCCGCTCCCTGCTCACCAGGATGCTGCTGCCGTCCGTGTACCAGGTGTAGTCTACATCTCGGAGGGGTTGATCCCTCAGGTCTGGTCTGGTCCCGTGCATTTCTGCAAGGATCTGGAGACAGTCATGCAGTTCTGGCTTTCCCAGCAGGGGGAGCAGAGTGGCGGGGTTAAGTGCAACCACTGGACTGAATTGGACTCGGTCCGCATCCAGGAGCATGGCCTGGTAATGAGTCATGCGGGCGTTGGAGAGCCAGCAGTCTGGAGGTTGTCTAATCAAGGCTTCTACTGCATGGGGTGCTAGGATAGTTAAAGGCTGACCCAGAGTTAATTTGCCGGCATCCTTGACAAGGACTGCAATGGCTTCTATCATTCGCAAGCAGGGTGGCCAGCCTGACGCTACTGGATCAAGTTTCTTGGATAAGTAAGCTATTGGACGCTTCCAGGGGCCCAGTCTCTGAGTGTGAGTATTCCTTTAGCATAGCCCTGCCATTTGTCCACAAACAATTTGAAGGGTTTGGTGGTATCAGGGAGGCCCAACGCTGGGGAGGCCAGCAAGGCCTTTGTAATATCCTGGAATGCCTTCTGTTGTTCCTCTCCCCAATTAAACAGAGTCCCTTGTTTGGTGAGAGGGTATAGGGGTGCAGCCATCTCCGCAAACCCTGGAATCCAGAGGCGGCAGAACCCTGCAGTCCCCAGAAACTCCCGCAGCTGGCGGGGATTTTTAGGGGCAGGGATGTCAGTAATAGTCTGTTTACGTGCCTCAGTCAGCCATCTCTGTCCATCCCTTAATTGATAGCCTAGGTAGATGACCTCTTTTTGGCATATTTGGGCCTTCTTTGTGGATGCCTGATATCCTAATTGTCCTAGTGTCTGCAAGAGGGCTTCTGTGCCCTCCCTGCACTCCTGTTCTGATTCTGCCGCCAGCATCAGACATATTGGAGCAGTAACAGGGTAGGATGCTGCACCCTGAAATCTGCCAGATCTTGATGCAAAGCCTCGTCAAAGAGGGTTGGGCTGTTCTTGAACCCTTGGGGAAGCCTGGTCCAAGTTAATTGGCCTGAGAGCCCAAGATCTGGTTCCTTCCATTCAAAGTCAAACAGAGATTGACTCACAGGATGCAGCTGTAGGCAGAAGAAAGCATCCTTTAAATCAAATACAGTGTACCAAGTGTGGGAAGGTGGCAGTGTGCTCAGTAGAGTATAAGGGTTGGGGACCGTAGGGTATATGTCTTCTACCCTCTTGTTGACCTCTCTTAAATCCTGCACTGGCCGATAATCCCCAGTACCAGGTTTCTTTACCGGCAGTAGGGGAGTATTCCAGTGTACCAAGTGTGGGAAGGTGGCAGTGTGCTCAGTAGAGTATAAGGGTTGGGGACCGTAGGGTATATGTCTTCTACCCTCTTGTTGACCTCTCTTAAATCCTTCACTGGCCGAAAATCCCCAGTACCAGGTTTCTTTACCAGCAGTAGGGGAGTATTCCAGGTTGAGCGACAGGGGGTGAGGATGCCCTGGTCCAGCAGCCTCCTTATATGAGGTTTTATTCCCTGATATGCCTCATAAGACATGGGGTATTGCTTAATGGAGACGGGGGCAGCTGTAGCCTTTAGTTGTATTATGAGCGGAGGATGTCGCAGTACTAATCGCATTCCCCCAGTCTCGGCCCATGCCAGTGGGAATTTATCAAGCCAAGAAGTCATGTCAGGTCCCTGGGGTCTTTGAGTTTCATAAAGTCTATATTCATCTTCCAGATGCAGTGTGAGAATCTGGAGGGGGGCCCCTTTGGGGCCCATTATGTTAGCCCCTCTATCTTCAAAGTGAATTTGAGCCTTTAATTTAGTGAGGAGGTCTCTTCCTAATAGTGGATAAGGGCAATCCGGGACATGCAGAAAAGAATGTGTCACCTTACCAGTAGCCAGCTGTACTTTTCGATCCTTCGTCCATCGGTATCTCTTACCACCTGTAGCTCCTTGGACCCAGGCCGATCGGAAACTGAGTGGTCCCAAAGTATGGGTTAGGACTGAGTGCTGGGCTCTGGTATCTACTAGGAAGGTGACTGGTTGCCCCCCAACATTGAGAGTTATCCTGGGCTGGGGGGGGGGCTCCTGGCCTCGACTGTCCTAATCCTCCAGGGTCAGAAGGGAGGTCGGGGGCCTGGGCTTCTTCGGCCCCCTGGGTCGCTTTGGACAGTCCTTTACCCAGTGTCCCCATTCCTTGCAATAGACACATTGGACCTTCTCCACTCGGGGTCCCTTCCAGTCTCCCCCTGTCTTAAGTCCTTTTCTATCCTGACCTGAAACGACGGTGGCCAGCAGTTTGCTAAATTCTTTGTTCCGTTTCCGTTCCCTAGCATTCTCTCTCTCCTCAGCTCCCTTTCTAAATCTCTCCTCTCTCTGTTCTGACTCCTTACACGGCTGTTCCTCTCTTTCCTCAATTGTCTCTCTCTTATTAAAGATGCATTCTGCTTCTTTTAATAAATCCTGTAGGGAGCTTTCCTTGAGGTTATCAAGCCTCTCTAATTTTTTTCTGATATCAGGAGCTCATTGCCAAATAAAAGTCATAGAGACATTGGTAGCCTGTCCTGGATCCTCTGGATCATAGGGAGTATACATACGATAGGCTTCTTTAAGTCTTTCTAAAAATGCTGACGGAGTTTCCTCCGAGCCCTGTATGACCTGCTTTACCTGGGCCAAATTGGTGGGGTGGTGTGCTGCCCGTGGAGACCCGCTATGAGCAACTGGTGATAGAGGCGCAGGTGGTTCCTACCTTCAACCGTAGTGAAATCCCAACCAGGGCGTTCCAAGGGGAAGGCAGCATCAATTTCATTAGGCAATAGCGTGGGGCGGCCATTTTCACCGGGAACGTCTTTCTGAGCCTCGAGGAAGACCCGCTGTTTCTCTTCAGAGGTCAGCAGGGCCTGCAGCAACTGCTGGCAATCATCCCAGGTGGGTTGATGAGTATCTAGAATGGACTCGATCAAAGAGGTTAGGGTGGTGGGGTCTTTGGAAAAGGAAGGGTTATTATTTTTCCAATTATAGAGGTCAGAGGCCGAAAAGGGCCAATACTGGGGTTGGCCGTTTGGCCATGTCCGGAGTGGGAGAGCGTGAGAAGTGGAATCTGGCGGGGGCTCCCGCCGACCTCTCAGTCGCCAGGCCATCGGCGAAGGGGCAGGCGCTTCCGGGGTCGGGGGTCGCTCGGGAGGCCCCGGACCTGCAGCCGCAGCTTCTCCTTGTTGTTCAGGTCCCGGACCCTGGTATGGGTGAGGTTCATCAGAGAGTAAGTCAATAAGAGGAGAGTCAGGACTGGGCGGTAACACCTCAGTGGGTGCTCTTTTGGACTTCTCCTTGACTGCCTTAGAGCTTCCCAAAGGTTTCCTTGTCACTGTACTCTTTGTGAGGGTGGGATAAAGGGAGGATGTGGTCGGGGTGGTAAGAGGAGGGGGAGGTAAGGAAGGAGTGGTAGGAGTCAGGGAAGGACGTGCGGGGGTTGTGAAAGGCTTAACCCAAGGTGGAGGGTCAGAAGCCAAGGCTTCCCAGGTGACGATGTAGGCAACCTGGTCCGGGTGGCCATGTGGCCCTGGATCCATCACTCTGGCTTTCACCTGTGAAATAGTATCAAGGTTAAATGTTCCGTCTTGCGGCCAGGCAACATTAAAGGTTGGCCACTTGGACTAGCAGAGAGTAATCCATTTCTTCTTTCGGACATCCAATGACTGGTTGTTGGCTGTGTCTTGGATGTCGCCCCAGTGCTGGAGAGTGAGACTTAAGGGGGTTGTTATAGACTGTCCCATCCCTTCAGAGAGGAGGGTGTCAAAGATAATGCCACCAAACAAGAGACAGAGACAAACACAAAACAGATGCGCAGCGCGGCTCCGGCATAAAATCGAAAGCAAAAATACAGACAGAGACTCTGAAGAGGGTCCGGATCCCTCGTCTCCCAGAAGAACCACATGCCCCTCGGAAGAGGGCTGTGCCCCAACGAGTCCCACTCTGGTAGTAGGTTCAGACAGATGAGTCCCAAAAGTCGGGCCCCAGATACCCCTGGAACGTCTTGCAGGGCTGCAAGAGAGAAGTCCGAGTTCGTCAACTCCTTCTCTATTCAGCCAGAATACTGACTGACTCAGCTGAATCGCACAGAATTCAGATTCGCAGCGCCATAGACGAACAAATGAACAATGAACACGAACGAAGTGCTGGCCAGCTTAACACCCGATGGTGGGTCAGTGGTCCCTGGGTGAGGGTCTCCTATCTCGGACGAGCCCCCAAATGAAAGACCCTCAAGGAGTGTCTTCCCTTGGGAGAGACCCCATGGCCAAGGATCAGTCGAGAGCACTTGTGTGGATGCAATCAGCATGAGGCTTTATTCAGATACATAGGTACCTGGGGCGACAAGATCTCCTTGAAGACTTGCGCGCCGACAGGCTGGGGAAAAGGATTTTTATAGAGACAGGGGAGCAAAAGCGCAGGTATAGAAGCGAGATGCATGGTTACAGGGATGCCATTGGTCAATTCAAATGAGGCCAGGGTTATTCTGAGGACAAGTTCCCTTAGTACATAGTAACCAGGTGAATAGCAACCAGATGAATGGCTCTATCTAGGGTACACAGGGTGTTTTTCAGGTACTTTCCATTCCTGGCTGGCACAGATAACCTGTTTGGCAGCCCTGGCTTGCTGACCCTGTCCTGATCCCGGGGCTACGTGCACAAAGGTTCCTTCATAATGGTGCTGCAGCAGCTAAGCTAAGCTAATACAATATGATTGGCAGGGGTCTTTCAGGGAAAGGAATTATGCTGACGTCCTCTGCCACATAAGGCAGGTGTTAGTTTACATTTGAAAAAAGGGGGGGGACATGTAGGGCCCTGCATGGACCCCTGAGGTGCCTTGAGCTAGTCTGAAGCTGTTGGCAGGAACTCCTTGCCCCAAGGCTTTTTTGGTACTCTTACCATTTTTTGATGACACACACCTCCTGACACACACCTCGTGACAATACACACCTATTAGGGAGGAGCTAAAATTCCTGTAATTTTTCCACTATGATTTAAGTCAGTATTTAAGACCATTCTTTCCCCTCAATAAACTTCATCTGGCATTTGGTATTCCAACATTGCCATTGAATGAATGACACACTGTTTTTTTTTTTTTTTTTTTTAATTTCAATCTCTAGGCCTTTACCCAATTCATGGAAGCGATGGTAGTGCAGACACTACAAAAAGTAAGTTGGTGTTGAGTACAAAGACTTTTCTACACAAAGACTCCTGATTGAAATGCTTTCCACAAGTGCAGCCCATAGACTGAACTATTCATAGGTCAACATCCAGAACTGGGGTGTTGCTAGGACCACATGTGACCTCACAGAATATGGTGACAGGTTCCCAACAAGCTTGCAGGAGGCCTTGCCAAACTGTGTACTATGACCTCCCTAGTTTCAGGTAGCATCCTCTCATTCACAATGCTGTGGCTTCTGCACTCTTCCATGCTCAGAATTCTTCACAGCAACAATCAGCACAGAAGTCAGTCCAATGGCGCCTGTTCTGCTATAAAACCAAGCCTGTACCATGTCTCTAGGGAGTGTCCTGACCAACTGCCAACATCAGACTGAAAGGAGAGAACCTTAAGATGATTCTTCTAAAATCACGAACAAGACAAGGCTGCCCTCTCTCTCAATATCTCTTCAATATTGTACAGGAAGTTCTAGCTAAAGCTATAAGACAAGAAAAGAAGATTAAAAGGGATCCATATTTGAAAGGAAGAAGTCAAACTATCACTATTTGAAGATGATATGATAGCTTAATATACCTTAATAAGCAACCCAATAAACTCTACCAAGGAACTCCTATAGCTGATAAACATCTTCAGCAAACTAGCAGGGTACAAGATAAACTCAAAAAAATCTGTAGCCCTACTTTTTTCAGACAACAATGAGATTGAGAAAGAAATCAGAGAAACATAACAATTTACAATAGCCAGAAAGAACATAAAGTATCTTGGAGGAACACTTCCCAAACAAATGAAAGTCCTATATAATAAAAATCTGTGGCTCTAAAAAAAGAAATTAAAGAAGATACCAGAATATGGAAAGGTCTCTCATGTTCTTGAATAGGTAGGATAAATATAGTAAAAATGGAAATCTTGCCAAAAAGCAATCTAGAGATGCAATGCAATCTCCATTAAAAACCCACCACAATTCATCACTGACCTTGAAAGGATAATAATCAACTTTTTATGGAAAAACAAAAGACCCAGCATAGCCAAAACAAACCTGTAAAATAAAAGAACTTGAAAGGCATCACCATCTGTGACTTTAAGATCTACTACAGAGCTATACTCCTGAAAACAGCCTGAAATTGCAACAAAACCAAAACAAAACAAAACAAAACAAAAAAACAAAACAAAACAAAACAACAACAACAAAATTAAAACAGGTAGAACATTGAATGGATTTCAAAAACCTGATACAAACCCACATAGGTATGAACACCTGATTTTCTACAAAACATATAAATCAATACAATGGGATGAGGAAATCATCTTCAACAAATGGTGCTGGCCCATTTGGATGATGGTGTTTAGAAGAGTGCAGATAGACCCAAGTCTGTAGCCATACACAAAATTATGGTCCAAATGGATCAAAGACCTCAACATCAATCCAACCACACTGAACCTCTTAGAGGAGAACTTAGGAGGTGCCCTTGAACAAATTGGTATAGGAGACCACTTCCTGAACGTAACTCCAGGGGCACAGAAACTGAGAGAATCAATAAATGGGACCTCTTCAAACTTAGAAGGTTCTGTAAGGCAAAGGACACAGTGGAAAGACAAAATGGCAGCCCACAGACTGGGAAAAGATTTTATGTAAGGAATAAGGTTTTTCTGCCTGCCACGGGTCTGGTCCTGCCATCACACCAGCCCCAATTAACACAGAGACTCTATATATGACATAATGCTATTGGCCTGGTACTAGTTTCTTATGTGCTAGCTCTGTCTTAAGTATTAACCCATTTCTGCTGATCTATGTATGTTCATGTGGTCTTCTTACTGAGGAGCATACCGGTATTCTGCTTTCTCCAGACTCTCCATGCTGACTCCTCCTTCCAACTTCCTCTTCCCTCCTTGTCTCTTAGTCCCACCTATCTTCCTTTCCTATTGCCCAACATTTACAGAAGGGCAACTCACATCAATTTTCACCAATACTACATAAGATAATGAGATGATCTCCAAAATATTCAAACAACTCAAAAAACTAATCAACAAAACACCAAACAACCCCATTAAAAAATGGGGTACAGACCAGCAGAGGAACTAGGATACAAGGGGTATAATAAGAGATTCATATAAACTCCCTCACAGTACCAAGAAGGGACAAGTCCCCCAGAGCTCAGGGGAAGTTTGGCGGGGGCAGCGAATGGAGAGAGTAGTAGGAGAAAACGAGGGGGAGGAAAGGAAAACATGTGCAACCAGGAAGATTGAGACTGATTAGGAATAGAAGACAGGAAAGAGAGACACAAAGAGAGAGAGAGAACATAAAAGAGGGAGCCAATATTGGTTTGAAGATAAAATTGAACACAAAGAAAGGTCTAGAGAACTACAAGACTTCTCCCAACTAACAATTTGAGCTTCTGTGGAAAGGCTACCATAAATGCCCTTCCCGGAGAGTGAGATCAACCACTAACTTATCCATGGAGACCTCAATTAATGCCTGTTGGAAACAGGAGCAAATACCCATACATAAACACTAAGTCAAAGTAGAACACAGATGCATGTTGAGAGGACAAGACCAGGTGACAGAAACACATAGAGACACTTACTTGAACAAGGAGCAGCTAACGGGCCACCAGACTGATAGCTGGGAAGCCAGCATGGGACTGACTCAGACCCCACTGAATATGGGTCTCAGCCAGAAGGACTGAGCAGTCTAAGGAACCTCAGACAGTGGAGCCAGGATGTATCCCTGGTACACAAAAGGACTTTGCAAACACATTCCCCATGGAGGAATAACTGCCTTAATCTAGAGACAGGAGAGACGCCCTAGTCCCTGCCTCACATGACCTGTCAGATCTACAGGACCCCAACTGGATGGCATTCCCCTACACATGGAATTGTGGTGGGGGGATGGGAGGGGAGGGTGGTTAGAGTGCATGTGAGAGGGCAGAGTGAGTAAAAGGGAGGGAAGGGGGAGGGGAAAGGAAGGTAGGGAGGGAGGGAGGAAGAGGGAACTGGGATCGACATGTAAAATAATAAATTAAATTTAAAAAAATGCTTTGACTCCAAAACGAAGTTCAAGGACATGTTACTGTGGAAAAGGATTTCTATTATTGTTTCCACAGAAAATGAAAAGATGTGGATTCCTTCCAGACTAATGTGGTTTGATCAAGCCAGACCACCTGATAGAGAATACCAGGTGATCCTACATTCAAAACAGGTGGACAAAGCAGCCTCACATACTACAGGCAGGATTTTTGCACCTTCATAGAATCCCCCATGACAGCGCCTCTTACCAGCATGAAGTAGTTTGGAAAGAACGACACCCAAATCCCCAAATATTGTCTATAAATGCTTGTTATTATTTAAATGGACTTGGTTATACAAAATGAAAAAAAAAGAATAGAAGCGTTCATTGAAAACAAAACTTAATAAAATCAAAAATAAAAATGGGGTACAGAACAGAAGAAATAATTCTCAATAGAGGAAACCAAAAAAGCTGAAAAACACTTAAGAAAATGTTCAACATCTTTAGCTATCAGGGAAATGCAAATCAAAACAACTTTGAGATACCATCTTACTCCTGCCAGGA